TGTTATAGAAAGGTTTGTTAGGCAAAGCGATTTATTTCTAGATATTGCTGTCTAACTCTATTACTGTTTCCATTATTGTTTTATTTTATTTTATTTTATTTTTTTTACTGTTTTTCCTTTATTTATTTACTGAAAGTGCTTGAAAGATCATATCATCTAACCATTAGCAATTCATTTTTAATATCACCTTCTACTCTTTTAGTGTCATGCAGAAGAGAAATGACAATAAACTGTGTTTTGTGATCCCTACCAGTAGAGGGCGCTATAGGATTCATAGTCTTGCTGCAACACTGCAGCGCTTCAGACTAAACTCAGCATGTAAATGAATGACGAACTGCTTGTTTGCCTTTCTGAGTGGCTTTTATTAAATGTGTTTTTTTATGAGCGAAGGCTGATGGGGTTTATAGGGTAATCAGACAACTCGCCACAAATGTAATACATGCATTAGCAATTAGCTCTGAGTGCATCATTTATAGCCTACAGATCAGTAACAAACCTCACTGATAAATTATATTTCTTTTCTGCTTCACATTTGTGTTGTATTGCAATACTTTATAATATACTATGCTCACCTCACATACCACGAACATCTGCAGGTGGACAGCCGGGCCTACACTTTACTATTGTCATTTTGCATTATTGACACACTATTTTCCTAATTAATGCTGTTCAGTTGCTTTGACACAATCTGTATTGTTAAAAGCGCTATATAAATAAAGGTGACTTGACTTGACTTGACACACACTATTAATAGTCAGTGATATGCCATGAAGAACTTTCCTTTGTTTGCTGATTGTCTACATGGAAACTGGGGAATGAGGAGGAACAGGAACATGAAGACTGATGAGGAGAAAGACAGAGGTGCATATACTTCAGGTAAGTCATGATCCAAACGATAGCAGTCCTAGCAATTGACGAGACCAGACAGTGCGTGTGTGGAGTGTCCTTATATCTGGTGCAGGGGTGATGTGGTGATTGGAGACAGCTGATGATGATTGTGGAATGTGTGCATGTGGTGGACCAGGAAGGATTCTGAGAGATGTAGTACATAAGGTGACAGACATGCTGATTGAGATTGTGACAGTCTCAGTACTTTTTACACCTGAACTAGAGCTGCACACCTGTTTACTCTCTCTCTCTTTCTCACACACACACACACACACACACACGTTGTGTTTCCATTTTTTATGGGGACATTCCATAGACGTAATGGTTTTTATACTGTACAAACTGTATGTGCTATTGCCCTACACCAACCCTACCCCTAAACCTACCCCTTACAGGAAACTTTGTGCATTTTTACTTTCTCAAAAAAACGAATTCTGTATGATTTACAAGCTTGTTTCCTCATGGGGACCTCAAAAATGTCCCCACAAGGTCAAAATTTACTAGTATTACTATCCTTGTGGGGACATTTGGTCCCCATAACGTGATAAATACCAGGTACACACACACTCACTCTGACACACACACACACACAGGGGAAAATGGCTTACACATGGGGCCTGTAATACAGGCTTTGTTTGTGCATCTACTCTGCGTCTGGTAGTCATTTTATCTGATAAGCATTTGAGCAACGCAGAAAACATCAGAGCTGAATTTCTTCCTTCCTTCACTTTTTTCCTCTTCAGCAGATGTTAGTGTTTTGGAGGTCTGTCTAGTTTTCCAATGCATGCTTGTTTGCATATTTCCCTTTTTGTCACATCTTTCAACAGAATGCTGTGGTTGTGTGTGAAACTTTGCTCATCGTGCGCGCAAATATTGGAGTCTCCTGAAGCATCTAATTTGCATTGTAAATTCCCTCTCTGCTCTATGTAAATGATTGCATGTCTTCATTAATAAAAAGGGCATTAGTGACATCTCATGGTGTACAAAGCAAACACGACAGGCATAAGAAACATGCATGTTTATTTTTGCACTCAGGACACATTAAATAAAAACTACAAAGGTACTTATACAAAAGATAGATTATATCCCATTTTACATCCAAAATAAGAATAATTTATGGCATAAATTAAAATTCTCACTATTTTATTTACAATTAAATGAAAACAACATATTTTTGTATAATCCCTGCAAGCACCCTTTCCCAAAACTGGAGGGATTCCTATCTTGGTTTCTCAGAAGGAAAGCCCACTCACATTGTGATAGACCACAGAAGGATATGACACTTTTTTCCACTGGTAAAAGTGCTATGGCATTCGAGCTTTGCCATCTAAATGGACGCCTGGTTTCTGCATTATTCACCAGCCTTTCCAGACGAATATGACCTTGTTAGATTTAACCTGTCACTTTGGGTTTGCCTCTCTCTCTGTGACCGGTGACACTTTAGTATGCATGGGCAGCCGCGGGCACTGCAGAGCTAAGGGTATGACGAAGTATGCAATAATTAACAGACTGCAGACCAAAATACAGCATCAGGTCAGACAAATATGTTTGGATTGAGGAAAAACCAGATCTTTGCGCTTGAATTGGATGGGCGGCTTGCTTAAGGGAGGCTTTTTTACAGATTTGTTTTGTTATACAATATACTGATTTTCAAAAGATGCAATCTGAGATATAAAAAATGCTTTTGGTTGTGCATAAAACATTACACAGGATAAGTACTTCGGTAATAAAGTGCATAATGTAGTGACTGTTAAATCGTTTTTGACAGTAAGTGTGGCATTATTGACGTACCCACAAACATGATCACCCATGTGAATGTTCTCAAAAGGATTTTTAAATGAAGGCCTTTTACAATATTACTAAAACTTACATGAAGTACTACACGCAGAACTAAATATAACACTGCTGACCTGTGACTGATGGCTGTGCAAGTGCTGTGAACTGCAAGCTACATGTTGTGACACTCAACAGGATAGTTGAAAAAAAAAAGAAATTTCTGTCATTTACTCACTTTTTTTGTCCATACAATGAAGGTATATTGGGCACAATGGGCCTCATTCATGAAACATTCATAAATATCAATTTAAATTCGGAGTACAGTAATTTGCATGTAAAATGGACATTCCCATAAACTCAGAAATGCACTGTAAACCTCAGATCAACAGTAAAACATGTGTCAATTAGTGATGGGAGAAACAAAGCTTCAAAACTTTGAATCGATTGAACCAATTGCTTCATAAAATGATAAATTTTTTTGAAGTGCTCGAAACACCAAAATCTGGTGACGCCTGCTGGTGTAAATGTAGCAAAACCTCAGCTCAAACATGTAAAAAAAATGTTACAAACCAAAAATGGCCAAAAGTGTCTGCATAATGCTTATTTTATTCATTTTCAGGACTTTTTTTGTTTGTTTTATGGAGAGCTTGGTTAATCAGGCCAATAAGAGACTAATAACTACAACTCTACCTTTGTATTATACGAATATGTCATTAAAATGTGGTAACACTTTACTTAAAGCCTTTATGTATAATGCATAATAAAAGTAGTTTTAATGCATTAAGTATGGCTTGTAATGCACCTTAATGCACTGTACAATCTCATGAATAATTGTAACCACAGTTAATACATTATAACACTTATCAATTAATTGTTACACTATGCATTTTAAATTCGGTTATGATTATTTAAGACAAGATGTAATGTATTACAATGCACATTATGAATAATTATAATGCAATATACCCATTAATAACCCTTTATAATCCATTATACATAAAGTCTTTCAATAAAGTGTTACTAAAAATGTCTACAAAAATCGATGTGTGTTCAGGTGAACCAATGAAATTTAGAAACATTTTGAAACAGTTATGATGTACTTACGTTTTAACTTTTTTTAATTGTGATTTTTAATTGAATAAATGTTATTTTTAATAATTTACAAATTATTCCGTAAAAGTCTTCAGCTTGTGGACAAATACTACTGGTTCTCAGAATAATCGATAATAAACTGGAAACTAATGTTAACTTTTTTATGTTAGGTTTTTTCATACTAATTAACATTTTGAAAATACAAACACTTTTGGGAATGCGTCAGAATGGTTTTATGAACAATTGTGAGCCTGGAGCACAAAAGCAGTTTTAAGTAGCACATATATATTTGTTGCAATAGCCTACAATACAATGTATGGGTCAAAATGATCCATTTTTTTATGTCAAAAATCATTAGGATATTAAGTAAAGATCATGTTCCTTGAAGATATTTAGTAAATTTCCTACTGTAAATATATCAAAACTTAAATTGTATTAATAATATGCATTGCTAAGAACTTCATTTGGACAACTTTAAAGGTGATTTTCTCAATATTTAGATTTTTTTGCATATTCCAGATTTTCAAATAGTTGTATCTCGGCCAAATATTGTCCTCCTATCCTAACAAACCATACATCAATGGAAAGCTTATTTATTCATGCATAAATCTCAATTAAAAAAAACTGACCCTTATGTGGTCCAGGGTCACAATTTACACACACACAAATATTCCATGAATGAGGCACGGTGTTCTTTTCTTTTTTTTTTCTCTGACTTTCAATGACATGTATGGATAAAGTAAACCATTCTTCAAAATACCTTATTTTGCGTTCTAAGTAAGTCAGGTTTGGAACGACACGAGGGCGAGTAAATGCTGACAAAATGTTCATTTTTGGGCCAACTATGCTTTTTAACCAGTTTGTGCGCGTTCCCTCGTAGGAAGCGTCCTCAATCCTCGCAGCTAGCAGTGCAGTGATCCGCATGGTTTTCTGCCGGCTGGAAAAGTGCTTCAGAATGTGAAAGCTCAAGTTGTGGTGAAGGGGGAGAAAGAGCAAATTGTTTTGGAAGAATTTCACCACTGCCTCTGTTGGAGAGGGAAATGAAAGGGGATGACGTTCGATTGTTCCCACACAGAATTACACAGCATTCATCACAATGCTTCCCTTACTCAAGTCGAAAACCTGACAAGAATAATATGCCCAATGACACCCACAGGACTACATTTATCTCGAGAATCCCCAAGAAGAAAAAACACATCCTTAGTGCTTATTCTCATTTGCAATTCAATGCTCCGAAGGATCAATGCTTGTTTGACATTGTGACAGCTTAGAAGACAGACAAAAGAGGTTTTTTCAGTCCTGAAGGCACTTAAAGGCAATGCAGAAAGATCAAAACCCAACACAAACGACAAGAGACGAAAGCGAGGTCCACAGGGATGTCAGCTCGTTTTGAGCATCGCCCAACTTGTAGCAATTTCAGGCTTTGGTTCTCCGCCGTCCACCTCTCTCTCTCTCTCTCGAGGCTTTCTTGTTGAGTCCGAATTGCTCTCGACATGATTGTGACAGTTCAGCCAGCTCTCTTACATCTGAAGAAAGGAGTTCAGTGCTCCTCAACAACAGGTGACCTACATTAGAGGTTAAAAAGCGAGCGAAACTGAATGGTATCTCTCCTCCGCAGGGGCTGGTTGGGTACCGTGGCGTTATTTTGGTTACGTAAGTGGTTTTGTCTTTCAGTGCGCTCCAATGCGGACGCTTATCGGCTGATCGCTTCTGTGAAAGCACCTAGAGAAACGACTATCCATTTTACAGCAATGGTCACTTGTTCGTTTTGGTCTGTGGCAACAGAAGCATCCCAGCGCTCTTTTGCTAATCAAATCGCTCGGTGCATATATGCACCTGTCACATGATTTGTGATTGGTTAGGATGCAAATTGAGAGTATGCGCGTCGGCTAGCGTCGAGCTCTTTTTGCGCAGTTTCTTACCAACAAGCGATCGGCACGTGTAAGCTGGGCCCTGCACTGGTCGTTTGAACTGAATTAGGCATGAATCGGATCCAGCAGCAGAAGACCAGCATTGTGTACAGTGTGTGCATCCTTTAGGGGCTAAAGCAGCCGTAGAGGTCAGAGGCAGTGAGGTTAGTTTCCCACGAGAGGGCTGAGGTCTCCATGGTGGTTCTTGAGTTTCTTCTTAAACAGAGAGATGGTGGAAGGTCTGTAGAAGATGATCCAGGGTTCAGACGTGGTGCTCTGCGCGCACGAATCCGACCCGCTGATTGACGGGATGGCCGGGGATCTGAGAGGGAAGACAGATACAAAAAGCAGATAAGGACCGAGAGCGGAGAAGTTGATTCAAATCAAACTTGTATGCATGCTACAATACGCCCGGTAAAACCAAATGATGGACGCTATAAATCTGCCAACGGCGTACAGATAAAGTAGCAAATCAAAGCGTGGCTCTCTGAAAACAATAGAAACCATCACAGAAAATTCTAATGGTTTCCACTACAAATACCATTACAAACCATCGACTTTTAACCATTAAGCATATTGTCGTGTGTTTTGGGACATATTCTATTAGGATTTATTGGTTTTAACAAGCCACCAATAGAAGGCGACCAATTACCAGTAGAGACCAACAGGGTCCATTACAGTTTCCAGTAAAACCAATACAAGTCCCATTATAACCAGTAAAACCATTAGAAATTTTGTAATGGTGTCTATTGTTTTTTTCAGCTGGGATGGGGAAGATGAGTTAGTTAAAACAATCAGCATCATCATAATTCTTCATCTGGTGCTTTATATGAGCATCTCAAACTGAAGAACAAAAAACATTAATTTTATAGCATATGTACTTACTTTACAGTAAGATGCAGGAGCAGCTTAGCCACCATGGCTATGACTGTTAGCGTTAGCAGAGCAGCTAATGCGTAGATGGTCCACACTGTAAAACACAACACGTTTATTAAAGCTAATGCAGCCTCATCATTACAGCTGTACTGAAATCTAGACTGGCGAGAACTCGAGTAACTAGTGTAAAGAGCGGATAGTTATGGAAACGCAAAACACAGAGCTAAAGTAAGCTCAAATTTAAAAGCTAACTAACAGTGGTGGATAATGCACTGTCAGAAAAAAGGAACAAAGGGTTTTCTAAAGGTGCAGCTTTGCACCTAAAGGGTCCATACTGGTACCTTTGGGTCTCACAAAAAAAAAAAAAAGGGTCACCGGGATGAAAAGGAAAATGTGTGTATATGTACAGTATGTTACAAAGTTCAAGACTCATGAAAGAAGGAGGTAGGAACTGGCAAACATGACTTTAATAACAAAATAAACAATAAAACTAAAGTCGGTTCTTGGCAATATAAAATGAAGACACCGGGATGAAAAGGAAAATGTGTGTATATGTACAGTATGTTACAAAGTTCAAGACTCATGAAAGAAGGAGGTAGGAACTGGCAAACATGACTTTAATAACAAAATAAACAATAAAACTAAAGTCGGTTCTTGGCAATATAAAATGAAGCAACCTTGTGAATATTATTATGATTTTAGTGCACTGTATAGTTGGCCATTAAGACTGTTTTATTAGACTAAGTTTAGTGATTTTTAATGTTCAGCATTATTTCTGATTTAAGCTTTAATAGCAAAAAAGTTTTCAGAATTTGCCCTGTGGCATACATTTTGTAACTTTTAAAGATGAATAGAAAGTTCAAAGAAACGGAATTTTCTTAGTGTAAAATTCTTCCCCATAATTCTTCCTACCTTGAATTGATTTTTAACTAGTACTCTACTTTTTTTTAGTTCTTAGATTAAAATAATTACAATATACGTGGCAACAGATTTCTGAGCATATATAAAAAAATGTGCATTGAATATAAAAATGTCCATTTAAGGCATTTCGCCAGAAAGTATGGTTACAAAAGTGAACTTTAGTAACAGTAAATCACCCTTTTTGTTTTATAATAAATTGACTAGACTATGACTAGTATGAATGATATCTAGTAAACTGATATTGAGTATGAGAAAGAAGTAAGAGAAGAGAACTGGACACATACTGGTGCTGTGGCCCGCGGTCCGGCCCGGTTCATGCCACTGACCTGGCATCTTTGCAGGACTTGATGTGATTACATAGTACCGGAGGGAGGATTTTCCATTCTGACTGGTGTTTGATTTTGCTGTAGTGCTTCCCGTATGCGGCTGCGCTGTACTGGTGTCCTCTTCATCACCATCGTCATCCTCCTCCAGAGGTGTGACGGCTTGATTTCTTAAAGCTGTGGGGAAATAATCAGCTAATGAAACACAAACAAAACCCCCAAAATTCCTTGACGAGATACGCATCATCTGATTAACATTCATAACGTCTCTTTTGACGCCCCGCTGGATACCACAAAGAGAGAGTTCTCAGCTCTTTCAAAATAACATCACGTCTTTCATTCAGCGTTGCAGGCGCGGATATAAACGCAGTATGTGGCATCTAAATCAAACTCTGCCTGGAGGGGAAAAAGATTCTGCCAATTTGCTTTGCTGACCTTTTCTTTAAAAAAAAAAACCTTTTTCCATTTCATCCTTCCCACTCCCTTTTATTCTTCCTCAGATTGTGGTTATTAAACTCTGCCTCCCAAAACAACACAACACAAAGTGGCAGCATGTCTGAAAATTGTTTAGATATGACAAAAAGCACCCCTAAAGCACTGCTTTTATTTATTTATTTATTTTTATGACTATTTTTTGACTATTTTATTCTAAAGTCATAAAAAAAAAAACTGACTGTGTGTGGTGTCATCACTTCTGATGTTGTTTTTAAGTCATCTGTATGCTAGCGTTGTTGCAATAGTCAACAAAACACTTTACTTAAAGCCTTTATGTATAATGCATTATAAAGGGTTATTTATTGGTATGATGCATTATAATTATTCATAATGTGTGTTGTAATTCATTGTATCTTGTCGTAAATAATTATAACTGAATTTAAAATGCATAGTGTAACAATGAATTAATAAGTATTATAATGTACTGTGTTTACAATTATTCATGAGATTGTATAATGCATTATTAGGTGCATTACAAGCCATATTCAATGCATTAAAACTACTTTTATAATGCATTATACTGTACATAAAGGCTTTAAGTAATGAGTAAATGCTCAGCAAGCATAAGAAACTCATTTTATATGAATTAATTTGATTAAATAGAATGCAAAAATAGCAATATTGTAAGGAAGTATTTATAAATAACTAAATTAGTTTTAAATAGAAAATAACTGTTTTCTATTTTAATATTTTTAAACAATGGAAAGGCTGGATTTTCAGCATCATTACTCCAGACTTCGGTCTCACATGATTCTTCAGAAATAATTCAAATATGCTGATTTTCTGCTCAAGAATAATAATAAAAAAAAAGATCTGTTTAATGCATCCCTGCTGAATAAATGTATCAATTACAAAAAAAAAACAAACACCTGAACACACTTTTTTTTGCATAACATCTGCAGGGACATGACCATACTGTATATAAGCAGACAGTCAAATGTTAACTCAAAAGAAAGCCTCACCATGATAAAGAACAGAAAATCCTTGCGCCTCATTTGTCCTGTCCGAGTAAAAATACAAAATGACGAAGTCTGCAGTGATGTTCACGATGTCCCGCGGTGGATTGCGGCCGTCAAATCGCGCCAACACCTGATTGGAGTAGCCATCCAACAGCTCCACCATATCAGTCTGATCCACGATATTGAAGAAAGTAAAGTTGAACAGAAGGACAGAAGCACCTGGAACCTGGAAGAGCGACATGACAAAGACGAGATACACATGATATGAGTTTTGGCTCGAGCAAGCTCTCTCTCCATTAGGATATTAAAGCATTAATTGTACCTGAATGGTCCAGTAGCAGACCCTGCCAGGTTTGTATTTGTCCGGGAAATCAGGAGAGTAGATCACTCCGGAGGGCGATGTGAAGTTTCCCCCACAAGCGCCTACTTTTGCTTTGGGAGAAAAGTGACAGCTTTAGCTTTTACTAAATAATGAAAGTAAGAGGGTAAATGACAGGGTTTTGTTTAACAACCTAGAACTAGATTTGTGAGGATGAGACGATCATCAGCATACTTAACTTTCCTTTGCACAGATAATAAGACTATAAAAACGTACTGTCGAAGACTATGACGCGTCCATCGCCTCCACATGGCTGAGTGTGATCCCCAAAACACACATGGTTACACTCTGTGCTCGGAGCGTCACCGTGACGATGATAATCAATGTCGTTGCCACAGAAACAAGCATAGCCTGATTCCATACCGGCAAGCTGAAAGAAAATAATCCACAAAAAATCAGGAACTCATAATTCTCTCCAGCCAGAGCAATCCAACGGTGCAAAAAAGCAAGCCAAATACAATATATAGTATTGATTTCTTCCCACGCAAACAGATGCACATGATTACATCTAAAACAAATATTGATTCTTTTGTATTGAGTCATTTCATTAAGTGCACTGAAAAAAATAATGCTAAATTTTTGCAAGTGGTTGCAAACAATCTATTTTAGCTACATTTAATAAAAAAAATATGTTGAAAGTTAGTCAACTAAATTTGTTTATTTAAATGTAGCTAAAATAAATTGATTGCAACCACTTACCTTAAAAAAATTTAGTAAATTCAATGAATAATTTTTTTCAGTCAGGACAAAAATCACTATTCCAGGGAAAAGGTTATTTTTAAGCCTGTATACTAATACACATTTAAAAAAAATATATATATATATTTATTATTTTGAATCAGTTTTTATATTTTCTACTTCCCTTTTATTTTTAGTTAAAGCTTTTGTCATTTTTAAAGGGCTACACTGCAAAAAATGGACATCAACTTGACATAGTCACCACTGATAAGCTACTACTAAATATAATGTAGAAACTTTAAAATAGAAACTTACATTTTCTCTAAAGCTGCTTTGCAATGATTTGTATCGTGAAAAGCGCTATACAAATAAACTTGAATTGAATTATTATAAATATATTATAATATTATATTATAAATTAGTATTTTTGTTTTTGTTTTCCAGTTATAAATATCTAAAAGAAAAAATTATCAAGGTGCATTATTTTACAAATAAAATGAGTTATATTATGTATACAATATATCTTGTTTTCTGAAAAAATTATCAAAATGTTGTTAGTTTTTGCTTAAAACAAGCAAAAATATCTGCCAATGGGGCAAGAAAAATATTCTTGTTTAGCCTTTGAATTAATATTATTTTTCTTACCCCATTGGCAGATATTGTTTAAGCAAATATCGTCTATATCGTATACATCTTAAGTCATTTTATTAATCAAGTGAATGCTTCTTGATTAAAAAATGTTTAGATATTTATACTAGAAACCAAGACAAAAATAGGAAGAAAAACATTTTGTTGCAGTGTAGTTCACCCAAAAATGAAAATCATGTTATCATTTACTCGCCCTCAAGTTGTTTCAACCCTGTATAAGTGTATTTCTTCTGTTGAACACAAAAGAAGACATTTTGGGAAAAAAAAATGTTGATGGTCCCAATTGACCTCCATAGTATTTTTTTTCCATACTATGGAAGTCAGCAGGGACCATCAACTGTTTGGTTCCCCATATTCTTCAAAATATCTTCTTCTGAGTTCAACAGAAAAAAGAAACTCGTGCAGCTATCATGCAACTATCTCTTTAAGTTTGTATAAATTTAGACCTTGCACAAAATATAATTTCTGTTTGTGAGATTCCCACATAATGAGTTATGAAATAAATAATTTTAGCTATAAAAGTTGATTGGATGAGTTACATTTAAAACTTTTGTGAAGTAACTAATAAAAGTACATATGTAACCAAGCATAAATGTAATTCTATATTGGTAAGACTTTATTTTACAGTGTCCTTGTTACACGTTACATGTACTTACTATTATAATAACAATAAATTATGCATAACTGCATGCAGGTAACCCCAAGACAAACACTAACCATATAGTAAGTACATGTATAATTACACTTAAAGTGTAACCCTATATCCATGTGGCAAAACATCGATTAATATTAATGAACCTGACATGGATGCAGTCAGGTTTGAGACGTTAAGACACCAAACTAAAGTAAAAGGTGTTATAATAACTGTTATGCATCGCTCTGTTCAATGACTTGCTGTCGATTGCATTTCCCATGCTGGAATTCGTACCTTGTATCTCTGGTTGCGGCAGAAGCTGATGCAGTTCTGAATGGTGAGTTTGTTGGAGGTCTGGTAGCCTCCAGACAGAGGTGTTGGATCACCGCTGTCCTTAAAACAGCCCAGGTTTCCAGGCACTGAAGGAGAAAGAGAGAGAGATTCATTTAAAAAACAAAACAAAACTTATATATATCACTGGAAAACATGGCACAGGCATATTGGGGTCCATGTAAAAGTTTAGCAACTTCAGCCATAATTCAATACAGTAACACTTGCGAATCATTAACTTCTCTCTGCCGGTAAATCGTCTGGAAACGTGTCTTAAAGACTGAGGTGTTTTATGAACTATGATTAAAACGGCATGCATGGCCCGAACAGTGTGAGAATGGAGAGCGCTGGATGTGACTAAACCTCATCCTAAGGGAATGCACAGATGGATTCTGGGGGTTTTGTTAATAATGAACTGAATGAGGTCTCAGGGTGAGAGAACACAGAGGTCAGAAAGAAAAAGAGAAAGAGAGGGTGTTGGAATCTAGAAAATGTCTTAAAGTCCATGTCAGTGCCACTAATGACACAGTTTAGACCAGTTTTAGCAGGTTTTTCTTCAGCATGGACAAACTTGGGAGTGCAAACACCAAGCAACTACCCAGAAAACCCTAGCGACCGCATGGCAATGTGCTAAAACCATTCACAACACATCCAGCACACACACATACATGCTTTTATGCACAACATGAATGGATGATTGGGATTTGTTTGTGTGAACGTAAGTGTATCTGTTCTATCAGAACAGTTCTGAAGAACATTCGGATGACGGTGTAGGTTAAATAGTGAAAGGTTTGATTGCAGACTGGAGATAAGGATTAAAAGAACCCTCTCAGGGCACTCCAGAACTCATCTCGGCGCAAGTCAGTACTCGCACAGGCCTCATTCTGCTCGCTGGATGCAAAGAAAAGTTTTGTTTTCAAAGGGATACATGTTGGAGCCAACTCAGGCCACACACACACACACACACACACACACACATGCTGCCTCTCTGCGTCTGTGTAGAAGTGTTTACTGAAATATTTGATGCTGTTTGATGAACAGTGAAATTCTAGCAGGAAAAATTCAATAATTAAGTTCACACAGTCAAAACACAAACACAGATTAACTACTACGACAGATCATGACGGTGAAGCTCATCTCCATATAAACATAAACAATTAAATTTTCTCTCAAAATCTGTTAGTTACACTGCAAAAAAAAAAAGATTTTCTTACTTAGAATTTTTGTTTTGTTTTCAAATATTTAAAAATTCTTGAATCAAGGTGCATTTACTTTACAAGTAAAATGACTTAAGATACTATGTCTTGTTTTCTGAAACAAATATCAAAATTTTGTTCGTTTTTGCTTACAACAAGCAAAAATATCTGTCAATGGGGTAAGAAAAATTATCTTAATTCAAAGGCTAAACAAGAATATATTTCTTGCCCCATTGGCAGATTTATACTTTTTTGTTTTTTTTGCTTGTTTTAAGCAAAAACGAACAAAAGTTTGATATTTGTCATTTGATAAAGCCATTTTACTTGTCATGTAAATGCATCTTGATTAAAACAAGACAAAAATACTAAGTAAGAAAATATTTTTTGCAGTGTACAATTCCTTGATACAAAAATTACATTTAAAAGTAAAAAGGCTGTTGTCGCTACTGTACTGTACCTTTAAGAAATATTTCTACATACACACGCACTACCGTTTTTGGGGTTGGTAAGATTTTTACATGTTGTTGAAAGAAGTATTTTATGCTTATCATGGCTGCATTTATCAACAATACAGTAAAAACAGTAATATTGTGACAATAATATCTGGGTGAGTATATCTATATTTTAAAATGTAATTTATTCCTGTGATGGTAAAGCAGCCATTACTCCAGTCTTCAGTGTCACATGAAGAAATATTTTGGTAACGCTTTACTTAAAGCCTTTATGTATAATGCATTATAAAAGTAGTTTTAATGCATTAAGTATATGCACCTTATAATGCATCTCATGAATAATTGTAACCACAGTTAATACATTATAACACTTATCACATATTTATAACGCATTATACCCTTTAATAACCCTTTATAATGCATTATCCATAAAGGCTTTAAGTAAAGTGCTACCAATATTTCTTACTATTATCAATGCTGAAAAAAGCTGCATCATATTTTTGAAGAAACCATGATACATTTTTTTCTTTTTTTAGGATTCTTTGAAGAATAGAAAGTTCAAAAGAACAGCATTTATTTGAAAAGGAAATCTCTGCTAACATTCAGTTGCACATGAATGTGCTTATTAATGCCGCTGTGATGTCAATACCATGAAATATTCTCAATTATTCATTTTTGCAGCTTAGTTTTCATAAGACGTCTGGGTGGATTAGGGAGGGAGTTTTGCGTCACGCTCGGTAGCTCCGCCCTCAGTCCGAAATAATTCAGCTCAACAGTTGTTCTGATTGCCTGATTGTACTACATAGTACAAAATGTGCAAAATTCGTCTCTTATTTCAAAAGAGTAAAGAAAATGTATACGTAAACGTATTATTCAAAATGTTGGAGAGTTCAACAGACAAACACTTTGCAAACCCCACAACTTTGCTGCTTGTCCAAACACAGACATGTACAATATAATCCACAGTCTGCTCCTCTCATTAATCAGAGTGTAAAAAACCACCACAAAAAAATGCAGTGCAGTGCATTCCTCCCCCTCGTAAATCTGCAACAATGTCCACATGAGCCGTGTCGAGTCAAACACGGGCCTGTTCTAGTGGACTGGATCCGAAGATGATCCATCGCTGCCAGCCAGGAATTTGTGGGTGGAAATTAAATGGAAGACTGCATGTAATTATGATGGTTAGATAAAGGACAAAAGCCTTAATTACACTGATATGCTTTTACAGAGAACAGAATCGAATTTTTCACTCTCGGAAAGAGAGAATTTCCCTTGGCCGTTCCTTCAATGGCAATAGCTCTGAACTCGAAAGCAGGACATTCTGCTCATGCAAGATTAAAGAGTGCAGGTCTTCTGCTTCTGACAGAGCGATTGTACTTCACCATCAATTTATCTGTCCTTAACCTCTAATCACGCACACGGTTTGCTTCCCCCTGCACAAAAAAGGGCTCATCTCTTTCACCAACACAGCTGCTGTTTTTTAGGCGACGCCATGTTTCTTTAGTTAACTTATACCTCAGAAAACTTCAAAAGAGAATTGTAGTAAAGACGTGCCGAACAAGGGTAGCAACTGCACATATACATGCTTTAAAAGTAATGCAATTGACTTCAAAGTGTAGAGTGGAATTTGAAGATTTTATAAGGCGCTGAACGCGAAGGCATTACGTGTGCTAATGTGCCTCGTTTAGACGGGCTCGCGAAAGATGCAACACATACACACACACACATACACATGTATTTTTTTTTTTACAGCCAGGCCTGCATCTGCATCTCGACACAGTCTTAAATGAAACACAGTTGGGAATGTGGCTGGTTCCACTGGTGAAATGCATAAAATTATTAAAGGCTTTACAAAAGCACTGTGATATTTGTTGCTGCGCAGGCCCATGATGAAATATCTGTTCTGTGTTTTCTTAATGTTGCGGGTTTGATTGCTGTACGGAGCGGCTCAGGAGCACAGATGACAATCACAATCGTGCCCTTGAGCAAGGCACCCGAGTTAGTTTACCGTAAATCACTTCAGAGGAAAACTATCTGCTAAATGACAACTAACTAACAAAGAAAGAAAAACCTCACTTTACCTTGATGTACAGGTTACAGACATAGGCCGTGACACTTTGAAAAACACATCAGATTGCAGTTTCATTCAATGGCTCCAGTCTTTTGAAAAATGTTAGGGACATTTTCATATTCACAAGCAGAGCTGTAAAGTTAGCTTAATAGTTTTTAATGGATTAATTATTTTTAAAAATGCAATAAAAATAAAGGCAAAAGTACGTAATTTCCCTACGTAAATTCACTAATAATATATATATTTTTTTCAGATTATTGGAGAAATTTAAGTACAAACTTTATGTTTTTTGTTATTAAAGTGATTACATTTTGCTGAAAAATTATTCATTATTTTGTTGGAACAACATAGATAGAAGAATCGTTCAGAATAAGACCTAGAATGTGTTACGAAAAAGTAAATAGGGTCCATTTTTATTTCATGTTGACCAGTGTTGGTATTGTTAACTAAAACTGTTAAAAAGTGTTTTTGTTATTTGAAATGAAGCTGAAATAGAAGAAAATGTAAATATTGGATGAAATTTTAACTAAACTTAAAAAAAAAAAGGTGAATGAAAATTAGAACTAAAATAAAATGAGCTAAAGTTAAAGTAATAAACTAACTAAAATAAAAAACTGAAGCCAAACAGAAATATTAAAAAAATAATAAAAATGAAACTGAAAATATCAAAATAAAAGCTAATATTAAATATAAATACATACTATAATCGGATATAGAAAAATACACAAATAAGAGAGAGACAGAGAGAGGGAGGTGAAAAAGAGAATAAAAAAGAAAAAAAATAATATTTTAATTATTCAGCAGAAAAAAGCTGATATTCACTACCTCAAATTCTGTAGGCCACTGAAGTATCAAATCAATTAATGCAACCACAATGAGAGTTTTTACATTTGAAGTAAATACAGTATTTCTTTTAACCAAATCTCATTCACAAATTCCATTTTCGGTAGATTTGATGCATAAAGTAATTAACAGCAATAAATCCTAAACGTGTTGAAGTGTAAGCACACGTGGCACGTAGTTTATCAATATCTTTCCATTTCAAGCCCAGATCCTTCATCACAAGGCCACCAGCTGTCTGCTTTTCCTAATAACCCTCTTCTGAAGAGTCTTCAGAAACTCTAGAGCGCCAGTAAATTCCACCGATATTCTCTTAAGCACTCTAGAAGCGGCGATATTGTTCGGAGCAGAACCGATGGTCTCTGGGCTTATATCGCACATCATATCTCAGCTGCGGTGAGTCATCCGCGCTTTTCACAATTTAGATGTTCATTATTGCAGGGCTTTATGGGGGTGACGCAAGAGTGATAGACGTGTCACAAGTCTGCTGAAGCGGAGAGGCAGACATAATGGCTTTCAAAAGGCGAGGG